GGTCACCTGACCATCCAATCCTTCCAGCAGGTTCCAGCACATGCCAAGGTATACCAGCTACTTCCATGTCATAAAGGCTTAGTCATGTCTCTTGACCAAGCAATGAGCTGGTGCCCTGACACCTATTCCTGTTGTGCAGGCTTCCTCTGGCAAAGCCAGCTGTCCTAGCCTGGACATTTCCCCTGAATTCCTTTGAGCTATTGCCCCAGGCAGGTTTCAAACTCATGTTGCTAGACAGCTTGGCATCTCTTCTCATACACTGAATCAAGCTTTGATCTGCTGCAGTATCTTATCCCCATCTCCCACCTGGTCCAATCTGCTATGGAACAGTCATAGCATCATAGTGGCCCATTCATCACTCCCATCCTCCTCCCTAACAGTTTCACACCCTCAGGCTCTGCAAGAAGACCTGCACCACAACATCAAACTGTTTTGGCTTAGGCACAGAACAAATGGGCTGACTATGCTTCAGGGATATTTTCTAGCCATGGGCCAACTGGTCCCTCAAGAGCTACTGTCCCAGCAGCTCAGGCTCCATGATCCAATCCCATGGCTTTTTGAGCACAGCACAATTCAGCATCATCATGCATACAAGAACAGTGGACCTGATTCCATCTGGCATCATGATGGGCATCATCATATGATACCCCTCAGTTTGCATCACTCTCATGCTGTGCTAACCATTGTAATGAGTACAGGGCTCATTGAATGGAAGATGTTTATGCATGCATTTGTTGATGGTCACTCCTGATGCATCACCACTATCTGGGTCAGCAACAACAATAGGGCTGCAACTGTACTTAATGTGTTTCACTCAGGATGGCAACTCTTTTGGACACCATCTCACATGTGTGGTGATTGCAGGATGGAGAATCTTCAAGTGGCTGAGTGGATGATGGAGAACCTTGGTCATGCCTGTGGTTCCTATATTTGGGGATGGTTTGAGGTATTCACAATATCATTGGGGGAACCCTCTGACACACTTGGTTCAGCTTTGTCCACAAAACTTGTATACAGCAATTATGGGTGGACTATCATACCAATGTGACCATGAAATGGGCTAAGCTATTTGAAGATATGGAACAGTCTGATGACCTTGATCCTGACAATGACCACCACATCTGGCTCCTACACTTTCTCTTCTTGGACACCATCAATGATGATGCAGTGTCCTTTCAAACATGTGGAATTATCACCCCAATGTTTTCAGAAGATCAGGACAGTCTTGAGACTGACCCATTGATATGTTTCTGTGGGGCTCCATTGAACATGGTGCTGAACAACCCCACCTTTGGTGGGGTGTGTCAGGCTGGTGATCTAACCCAAAAGGTGTCCAAAATTTCAGTCCAATGGGTGGTGCACAAGAACTTGCTGGGGAAAAAGGTAGAAAGTTGGTAAAAACAAGGGAGTCAGCCTGAAGCTGAACTGTCAGAAACTGGTTGGTAAATCAGAAGTCAGTGTCAGTCCAGGCACCTATGCTAAGTCAAGTCAAATATGCTAAGTCAAGTCCAGTCTGCCAGTATACAAATAATCAGATCTGTATAACTCTAATGGAAAAGGGGGCAGAATCAGCTAAGTACAGGAGTTTCTGGGAACTACTTATACTAGCTACTATAAACTGTACTCTATACTAAACTGGTATCTGGATACCTCACCAAGACAGAGGTTGGCATGCCAAATATCTGTGTAAGTCAATCCCATTGCAGGGGAAACCTACAGTCATCATGTCAAATATCCAAGTGGTCCTGTTGCATGGGAAACCTTGTAGTCATCATGCCAAATATCTGGGGGGGTTGAGACTCATTGCTGGGGTGTGTTGCCCATGTAGTGAGGGTCCATAGTGCTGTGCAATGGTCTCTAAGGGCCTGAAAATAACTGTGGGAATACCAGCCTGACACACCCCACCAGAGGTGGGGTTGCTCATCCCCCCCCAACCTTGAATACTGACTTCCCGAGTCAGCAGGGCCCTGGTTGATGTAATGTGCAGCCAGGAACATGGTGTGGTACTGCTGAATATCGAGTTTAAGCAAGGGTGGCATTATCAAGAACCAATTGCCAGCCTTCCCACATTAAGACATCAGGCCACATATTGGCATGCTGGTAGAATGGCAGTGTCAATATTTGGTCAGGGGGTATATCAGAAGGCTTTGCTGTGCAGTTGGTGCTAAGGGTGGCTGGTTGGCATGTGACAACCCTAAGCAGTGGCTTGCAGTGCCACTAAGTCCACACAAGGGACCCTGACTGCATTTTTTGCATTGAGTCACATGGTGTCTGAGACCCTGATTGGCTGATTTGTTGCTTTGCAAAGCCCAGTGTGGTGTTGGTTTGTGCCACCTAAACCAAAAAATATGTTCCAGATATTGGCACTGAGCAGAATGCTAGCATATTTTTGTTTTCCATTGAGGGGTGCTTGTGCCTATAAATGGAACCAAATTTCACCTTTCCTGTGCCTGCAGATCTCAACTGTACCCTCTGCCTCCACTGTTCTCATCCCCTGCTCTGACATGGCCAAGCCCAGCACTTGCAAGTCTGCTGCCTAAGGATGAGCAGGCTGCCATGCTCAAGACAGCTGCCATGATCATTGTGCACATGCATGAAGACACTGAGGATCCCATATTTTTGCCTCTGGTGAAATATTCAGACCTTGAGGCATTTTTTGCCAACATGGTCATGCTGCTGGTCAACAGCCCCCAATCTGCCCTTGTCTGCAATTTGCCAGTGAACAACCCCACCTCCAGTAGGGTGTGTCAGGCCAATATTCACATAGTTATTTTGGGGCCTTAGAGACCATTGCACAGCCCTACAGACCCTCACTATGCGGACAATGCACCCCAGCAACAAGCCTCAGCCCACCATGGATATTTGGCATGGTGACTACTGCAATTCCCCAGGCAACAGGACCACTCAGATATTTGGCATAGCAATGCTGGGTTTCCTCTGTGATGGGATCAACCCATGTGGATATTTGGCATGCCAATGCCTGCCTTGGAGAGGTATCTGGAGACCAGATTAGTATTGAGTGTAGTTTAGAGTAGCTAGTATAAGTAGTTTCCAGAAACTCCTGTATCTAGCTTATTCTGCCCCCTTACCAGTTGGACTTATACAGATCTGATTATTTGTCTACTGGCAGATCTTGACTTGACTTAGCAGATTTGACTTGACTTATTGTGACTTGACTAGGCAGACTCTGAGCTCCGATTTACTGACTGATTTCTTACAGCTCAGCTACAGGCTGACTCTGGCACTCCTACTAATTTCCCCCTTTCTCTTCCGCCTTTCCCTAGTGAGTTCTTGCACACCACCCATCAGACCAATATTTCGGACACCTCTTGGGTTGGATCACCAGAAAAGTGGGTCCACCTTTTTGCTGAGGACCAGCAAGCGGAACTGGCCACATTATCTGTGCCAGTGGAAGAAGAAGAGGAAGAGGACAAGGAGGAGAAGGAGTTTAAGGCAACGTTGTCAGGATTTTTGGTATGTGGTTTGCCTTTCTTGTGAGTTGCATTCTGGTGCTAACCCAAATTTCCCAGATGTCCCTAGCCAGCATGGACAGCCCTTTGGTGAAGGCAGAGAAGGGCAAGGCCAAAGCCAAGGAGATGACACCATCAAAATTGGTAATGCCATGCACTGATGACAACACCATCCCAATGCTGCCTGCAACCAGGACACATGGGAGGTGACAAAGGAGGACTCAAGAAATGTGGTGAGTCATCCACTTTTTCCTTTGTTTCTTGTGATCTGGTAGACTGACCAATATTTTGCAGGGTTGGATGATGGAAGAGACACTGGCAATGCTGTTGCTGGTGACAATGGATGAGGTGGTGGTGGAATCTTTTTCGGCAGAGAACTGCATAAGTTGGCTCTCCTTATTGTGGTCTTGACATTTTGCTGATGTGTTTTTGGACAGTGTTTGCTGTGCCGCAAGCACACCATCTTCAAAGATGGTGTGGCATGCCATTGTGGAGCAGGCCAGGAAGCAGTATGTTTGGCATGCAAGGTGGCCAAGAAACCTTGCACCACATGCATAGGTACACCAGCTGTTGTCTCCTGCTTTTTGTTGAGCTTCCACTGACTTGCTTTTCAGCATGGCCCAAAAAAGTGGTGGCACTGCCTCCAGTGCCTGCAGAACAGAAGCTGTTCTGCTTGGAGACCCCCAAGCCCACTGAGAAGCCTGCAGCCATGCCTGCCAACAAGAAAAAGTGGAAGCTGATGCACACATATGTGCCAGCAAAGGCCAATAAGTGCAAGAGGGAGGAGAAGGATGAGGGGGAGGCTGGGACCTCGCAAAAGCAGTCTTGCCTTCCAGAGGCAGGTAAGTCTCTTTTCTTCTGCAGGTTTATTTGGGTGATGCTAACTGATCTTGTAGAAATTGAGCTACCAGTTGTGCTGCTCTGTATGGCAGAGCATAAGATGCTCAAAATGTGGAAGAGCCTGCAAGTGGCTCAGAAAGCGGTCACAGAGGTGACAGCCTGGGCAGATCAGATTCAGACTCTCCTGGGGAGGGATCTGACAGAATAAATCTGTTTTCTTTCTTCTTTTGCTCTTTCTTGTGTCATAATTCATCTTGTAGTTGTAGTTGTAATGTTTTTGTGTCCTGTGTCCTCTTAGATCCAAATTTCACCTTAAGCAGAATTCATGGTAATGCCTCCTGTTGGCCTGATACTACTTCAGTGTGCCTTAAGACTTGTGACTTCAACATTTTTGTGTTTGGTAATTCAGATGTCATGCATATCATAAATATATTGCAGGTATTTGTGAGGGCACTAGGTCTAGCAAGGTTGCCACACACTAATGCCAAACAATAGATGAAGTCCTGGGGGGTCTACTGTGGTTGAAAGCAGCTCCAACCAGCAGTACTAGTTGATATCCAAGTCACCAGGGCCAGCTGGATTATTGGGGGGGTCCAAGGGGGTCACTGGGGGATCCCTGGGGGTGTTGTAAGTCAGTTATAGATAGCTGAAAAGTGTAGCAAGAGTTGTGGAGTCAAGGCAAGTTTATGAGGGCAGGGTGGTCAGGCATGGGTAGAAGGGGGTCCAAGATGATGAGATGACTTAGAAATAGAAACTGCTTGTAGACTAAGGAGTTTCCTCAGAGATCAGATCTGAGGGATACAGCATCACTATGCTACTGCTTATATACCTTACTCCCCAGAAGCCCAGGAGTCCAGGTAAATTCTGGGGGCTCCTACAAGTGTCAGATAGACATCTTAGCAACACCCCTGGGCCCTTGAAACCTTTCCAATAAATTGTGGTGACTCTCACAAGTGTTGCCTGGTGTCTCACTAGTCCTGGTGGGAGTCCCTAGCATTGCTATGTCTCACCCCAAAGTGTCTGGACACAGCAGTCTTGTGGTATCCTCTTCATGATGTCTTGTTTGGTCATTGCCACAATCCCATGGTAGTCCCCAACACAGGAGGTTCCAACATCTTGCTGTTGCATTGCTTCTAGGGCAAAATGGGAGGCTAGGGGTGGCTGCTAGCAGTGCCCTGATAGCAATCCCATGTGGTGTTGGGTGTAGGGTTAGGGTTAGAGAATTCCGTGTGCTAAGTGGAGAATTCCATGTGATAGGAAGAGAATGTCATGTGCTAAGTGGAGAATTCCAAATGCTAAGTGAAGAATTCCATGTGCTGAGTGGAGAATTCTGTGTGCTGGGAGAAGGATTTTGTTGTGCTAGGAAGAGGGCAAGAGCACAGTGCCCTGACAGTACTCTGGTAAGGACTGTCTAGTGCCATACTACTGAGTCCACTTGTGGACTTAGTAGATATATCTTGAGGAAATGAAAAGAAAATGAGTGACAAATTTGGGAGGTATGGTGTGTGCTGTTTGATGAGCTTGTGGGTATAAGGCCTGTGGTATTTATTTGGGGTTGGTTCTGTGGTAGTCAACAAGACATCTTGGACAGTTCATAGGATATTGGCAGATGTCTGCTGCAAAATGTTGGCAAAGGTGGGTGTGCAGTTGGATTGTTGGTGGTAGGGATAAACTTGGAACTGTGCAATCTGGGCTTCAAGGATGGTGCCATCCAAGTCAGTGATCACCTAACTGCCTCTAGCAGTCTGTGTGACAACAACCATGGGACCAAGAAATTGGGGCTCTGATTTTTGGTCAAGTTCCTTCTCAATCTGAGTATTACAAATGAGGACCAGGGTGCCAGGTTGGAAGTCATAGTTGGTGAGGATGTGCTCATGGTCTGCCTTAAATCAGTCAGCTGTGCATAATCAGGCCTGGTGAACCTTGTCCTGGAGATCAAATAAGTCAGTGTCTTGGTGCTTGAGCTGTCAAATTCAGTAGGCCAGCTTGTCACTGTCAGACATAGGGAATTTGGGTGGGGGCACAAGGAACATTGCTTGCTCAAAGTCCATGGGGAAGATCAGGTGGGTGTGCAATGAAATATGGTGATAGTCTGGTGCTGTGTTGGACCAAAATTTGCTCAGCTCAGAATGTGGTCTGCACTTTGTCAGGCCACTGCTTGACATTATTTCTGCATGCTTTCAGAATTGCTTGTCAGACTGTAAAATGTTTCAATTTGACTGCACCATTTGCACAAGAGTTGTACAGTGAACAACCCCACCTTCAGTAGGGTGTGTCAGGCCAATATTCCCATGGCTATTTTTGGGCCTTAGAGACCATTGTGCAGTACTATGGACCCTCACTACACAGGACAACATGCCCCAGCAATGAATCTTGACTCCTGCAGATATTTGGCATGATGACTACTAGGATTTCCCAGGCAATGAGACCACTCAGATATTTGGCATGACAACGGCAGGTTTCCTCTGTGATGGGATCAACCCATCTGGATATTTGGCATGCCAATGCCTGCCCAGGAGAGGTATCTGGAGACCATATTAGTATTGATAGTAGCTAGTATAAGTAGTTTCCAGAAACTCCTGTATCTAGCTTATTCTGCCCCTTATCCATTAGCATGATACAGATCCGATTATCCCCATACTAGGCAGCAATCATCTTGACTTAGTGTATTCAACTCAACTGGACTTACTTGACTAGGCGGAGAGACCGACCTCCGATTATTTGCATACCAACTTTTGCTAGCTCAGCTACCGGCTGACTCCCGCATTTCTACCGATTTTCTCCACCTCTCCCTTCTCTTAGCAGCAAGTTCTCGCACACCACCTATCGGACCGATATTTCGGACACCTCTTGGGTTGGATCATATTGGAGCCCAACGTGAGGCAGCTTTTAACAAATAAGAGCTGCTGAGGTGAGAACTCCTCCTCCGATTTTCGATAATACTGGCTTCCCGGACTCTGCCACCCACCTCCGTTATAGAAGAACAAAACGAGCTTAGGGACAAACGGCAAGCCCGACGTACTGCACTCCGAGAAACACCCACAATTTCAGATACCGAGGAATCATCGACCGCTTCCACAAGGAGCAATACCGAAATAGTGGACACAGTCCGACGGCTCCTCATGGCTAGCAAACGCACTATGCCAACTGGCAGGGAGTCTCCCTCGGCCCCCCACTTTTCTCCTACACCCCTCAGTGTCACTTGTTACTTTGCAGCCCTGGAAAAACTATTCGGCCTGTTTGAACCAGCTGTCACTGCTGGAGCTGACAAGATCGACTGGGCCCGCTTTTACACTGATGACAACACATACAAATTATGGGTTCAGATCCACGACGGCATGGAAACTGCGAAAAAGGACTCGTACGAAGATTCCAAGGCCGAAATACTGAAGTACTACCCTGGCGCAGCAAATAATGAACACTGGTACACAACTCGGGACCTCGATGACCTCGTTCACAAGTGGCAACACACCCTACCCGATATTTTGCAGCAGACGTCTGCCGAAATCTTGCAGACCGTAAAAGATGTCTTGTCGCATACGGCAGAACCCAACCCCAAATAAATAGCACAGGACGTATACCCACCAGGCCGTTGAAGCAGCGCGCGCCTTACCTCCTGAATTTGTCACTCGTTTCTCTTCATTTCCCCGAGATAAATCTACTAAGTCCACAAGCGGACTCAGTAGTATGACAGACAAAACACAATCCTTACTGGAATACTCGCAACCTAAGATCCAAATTTCCCACATGAAAACATCAAAGTCACGACTTGAAGCACTCTGCGACAAATAACAGGCCAACAAGATGTATTACCACGAATTTTGCTTAAGGCAAAATTCGGACCCTACGAGCATACGAAATACGACTAAGTCACGACTAGACTATACCATGCATTATGAAATCACAACGAACAGAAAATCGAAAAATAGATGAAAAAGAAAAAGAAGAAACAAAAACCGATTTACTCAACCAGAGCCTTCCCCAGGAGAGCCTGGACTTGATCCGCCCAGCCCGTTGCAGTGTTCACCACTTTCTGCGCAGCGTCGACTCCTTTCTGCGCAGTGTCGACCCCCTTCTGCGCAGTGTCGACCCCCTTCTGCGCAGCGTCGACCGCTTTCTGTGCCGTCTGGAGGCTCTTCCACACCTCCAGCATCTTGTGCTCCGCCGAGCGGAGCGGCGAGACTGGCAGCTCGATCTCTACAAGTTCCTTCAGCGTCGACCGAAATTAAACTACCAGAGGAAAAAAAGACTTACCGGCCTCCAGAAGGCGGGACCGCTTTTGAAACGGGCCAATCGAACCCTCACCATCCTCCCTCTCCCGTTTTTCGGGCTTGACAATGCCGCTTGAGCTTCGGGTAGCGCGCTTGGGCGCAGCCTTCTTTTTTTCGGCCGCTGGAGTGGGCGCGCGGGACTCGGGCTCTGGAGTCTCCGGGATGAAGAGCTCTTTCTTCTGGGTGGCCGTGTTTTTGTTGCGCACTAAAGAGAGAAGTCAGAAACCTGCAAAATGTGTCAAAGAAAAACGGCGTACCTATATGCGCGCTGCACGGCTTTTTCGCCGCCTTACACACCGAACACGCTCCCGACTGCTCCGCTATGTCGCACTTGTGGACGGGCGCGTCACCCTTCAGGATGACCCGCTTGCAGCACGTCTTGCACTGTCCGAAATTCGTCAGCACCTATTAGCGGCATAAAAAGCGGGGGCGTGACTTACACAGTTTTCGTCCGCGAAGGCCTCTAACACCGCCTTATCCTTGGACACCACCAGGACGGCAGCCAGCGCCTCCTCCATCAGCCAGCCCTGCCATAAATCGGTCGTTAGTTCATCCGCCGAAAACGAGGGAAAAACGGGCGACTTACCGCATGTTGGGTGACCGCCTTGCTCGGCCTACCACGCCCGGCGCGAGCAGGGGCAGTTGCCACCACTTTCCCTTTTACGGGACTCGGTTCCGCCTTCACAGACTCCTCTTCTTCAGCCGGAGGAGGGCTCGACGCGGCAGCGGAATGCTGTTTCTGGCAATAAGAAATCAGTAACACGGAAAAAGCGGCACAAATTAACAGACATACCGCGAAATCGTCCAGCAGATCGCCGAAAAAGTCGTCGGCATCTTCCTCCTCCTCCTCCTCCTCCTCCTCCTCCTCCTCCTCCTCCTCCTCCTCCTC